ATGGAACAGAATCTGAAAAATAATTTTACATATTTAAGTATAATTCACAACACTTCCAGGGTAATATAAAAAGTTCTCTTGTTATTTAAGTAATTTTAGAAAATAAAAAAATAGATTTTAAACTAAAATACCTTTATTTTCAGTTTATGCCTATAACTTCAGTATAATTTTCTTGTTATTTCTTGAAAAATCTATCAGATTTTAAAATTACAGTCAGTGGGCCTCCCAGGTGGCTCAGCTGTTGAGCGCTGGGTTGCGAAGCTGCCCGCAGCCTCTGCGGCGCCGGTTCGATCCCCGGCTGCTCCCCGGCCACTGGAGGAGGGTCCCACATGGCGCGCAGACCTCTCCTGCCGCCTGCTGCTCCCCTCAGCAGTGTACTTCGGTCCTTCTGCCTGCTCTGCTCCCCGCTCTGGCTCTGGTGAATTCTCTCACCCTCCCGCGCTTCTGACTGTACCCAGTGCATGTATAAACAAAACAAACAAACAAATAAATAAATAAATAAAAATGCCTCTATAAAAATTTAAAAAAAAAAATAAAATTACAGTCAGTAATGAAATTACAGTACCTGTGAATGATTGGTTATCATACATTTCAATAAGTTGTTGCTCATGATTTACAAATAAGTATAGTTCCAAAATGAAGACTGGTTCTTTTTTTTTTAAAGATTTATTTATTTATTTATACGAGCACTGGGTACAGTCAGAAGCACGGGAGGGTGAGAGAATTCACCAGAGCCAGAGCGGTGAACAGAACAGGCAGACTGATGAAGTACACTGCTGAGGGGAGCAGGAGAGGCTGCGGGTAGCTTCACAACCCAGCGGTCAACCGCTGCGCCACCAGGGAGGTCCTAATTCTGTCAGTTCTTTTGTTTGTATTTCACATATGAGCAAAATCATCCAGTATTTGTCTTTCACCCTCTAAACTTATTTCACTTACCATAATCCCCTCCAGTTCCATCCATACTGTCACAAATGGCAGGAGTTTATCTTATTTTTACAGCTGAATAGTATTACATCCTGTATATGTACCACATCTTTTTTTTAATATTTATTTTATTTATTTATGCATACAAGAACTGGGGTGTAGGCCAGAGGTGCGGAGGGGTGGGGGTAAGAGGGTTCACCAGAGACAGAGTGGGGAACAGAATGGGCAAATCCACTGAAATACACTGCTAATGGAACAAGGGGCAAGACAGGAGAGGCCCACTGTGCCATGTGGGCTAGTTCCCTGGCTGGGGACTGAACTCACGTTGCTGTGGCTGGCAATAGCTCGACAGCACTGTGACTTTAATCCCTGAGCCACCAGAGAGGTCTTTGTATCACATCTTCTTAAACCATTCATTTGTCTTTGGGCACTTAGGTTGTTTCCACAACTTGCCTACTGCAAATAAACTTGCAGTGAACATAGGACAGCATGTGTCCCTTTGAATTGGTGTTTATGCATTCTTTGGATAAAAGCCAAGGAGTGGAATCACTCCTTTCCAAAGGGTCTTGACAGTCTGCATTCCCACCATAGAGTACAAGTATTCCCTTTTCTCCATATCTATTGGAGAAAACCAACACTGTTGTTTCTGCTTTTGTTTCTTGTTAATATTGGCCATTCTCACAGTATACGATACTGAATGAGGTGGCATCTTATTGTGGTTTTGATTTTCATTTTCCTGATGATAAGTGACTTTGAACATTTTTTTACATGCCTGTTTACCATTTGCATGTTTTCTTTGAAGAAGTGTCTATTTAGCTCCTCTGCCCATGTTTTGATTGGGTTCTTTGTTCTCTTTTCGTTGAGTTGTATGAATTCTCTGTCGATTTTGGATATTAGCCTTTTGTCAGATGTATCATGTCCAAATATTTTCTCTCATTCAGTCTCAGAACTACTGGTCAGAAATGAGCTACACACATACACACAAAGTCTCCACAAATTCAAAGCCAGTTTTTCTAATCTAAGGATCAGGAACATATCCACACATATCTGAAATAAGATATACAAACACATTAGAGAAGCGAAAATCACTTTTGGGCTTACGGCTGTCAATGCCATGAGGAAGTTTCCCCATAAGCCTGACAAACCACAGTGGCTTTTTTTTTAAAAAAGATTTATTTATTTATTTATTTATGCATACAAGAACTGGGGTACAGGCCAGAGGTGCAGGGGGTGAGAGGATTCACCAAAGACAGAGTGGGGAGAACAGGTGAATCGAATGAAATACACTGCTGAGGGGAGCAATGGGTGAGACAGGAGAGGTCTGCTGCACCATGTGGGTCAACTCCGTGGCTGGAGTTTGAACTCATGCTGCAGTAGCTGCAGATTGCTTCAAAGCACTGATGCTTAACCACTTGCACTGCCAAGCAGGGCCCCACAGATGGCTTTTTCCTGTATTAGGAAACCAAATGTGTGTGTGTGTTATGGAGGGTTATTCAGGGACCCCAAAATATCCAGAGATCCATGCTTTAAAAAGGGTTCAGCTATCCATTGCACAAAGGCAAAGGAAGCAAACTCTTAATGTAAAAGATCTTTAATAGAATTAGCATGCATAGAGAGAAAGAGAGGAAAGGACATGCTTAATAAAAGTGAAAATTTCGGGCCTCCCTGGTGCTATCACGCTATCACTGCTGTATCCTGAGTTTGATGACCCACATGGTGCAGCAGCCTGTTCTGCTCCCCACTGGTGAATCCTCTCATACACCACACCTCTGGCCTGCATCCCAGTTCTTGTATGCATAAATAATAAAAAAAAAATCTTTTTAAACTCCTGAAAATTTCCCACTTCCTCATGGGCAAATGCCCAGCCAAACAAGTTTGGCCTGAAACCTTGGCATAAGTCTAAGGTACCTTCTGGCCAGAAACCGTAAAAAGGGGTTAGGCAGGTCCCAAGAGAGCTGGGGATGAACAGCCGACTCAAAATACAAAATCAAAGTACAAATCAAGTAACAGCTGCAAAAGCTTCTCCACCCTGTGTCTCTTTCTAGTCGCTAGGTACAAGTTGAAAGCCAGAAAAGCTGGCATTGATATTTTTGTAAATTGTAGATCAGTTATTTTATAGAATATTCCTCAATTTATGATTATCAGCATTTCCTCATGATCTCATTTAGGTTTTCTCTCTGGCCAGAATATGACTTAAGTGAACTTGTGTTGCTCTCAGGGAATCACATTCACGACGTATCTATCTGCCTTTTGCTGATTAGGAGGATTTTAATCATCTGGACATGTTATTTCCCACTTTCAGTTTTTGTAGTGCATAGTTATATTTTTCTCCTAATACTTTAATACATCTGTGCAGCACTACTTTGAGACTAAGCAAATGTCCACTCCTTATGAAATTTATACTTCAAGATTTAGTATTCTCTGACGAATCTTGCCTGAACCAATCTTTATTATGGTGGTTACAAACATTGAAGCAGGAAGTTACTAAGTCTGCTGCTTAGAGTCTGCTGCTTGAATTCTGCTGCGAATAATTCCTGTGGTGTGCCGCCTGCCCACAGTAGTAGCTATGGCTACCTTGACCCCCTTCCCAAACAAAAAAGAAAGTCTATGATGGATTGGGTAACAAGCTTCCTCATACAAACTGTATAAAACCTACAATTCCTGCAATTCTGGGCTCAGACTTTTGGGAGCTATCCCACCGACAAATAAATCTCTCTCTCTTGATGTCTCTGATTGCCACCTGATTTCTCTGGGAAACTGCTGTAACAACATCACACTCCATATATTTATGACATTGTAGTATAATAAAATATCTTCCTTTTTCCCGTATTGATTTATCTATTCATTGTTACTACATATTCATAGATTTCCTTTCTTTTTTCAATGAGCTATAATCACTTACTGCCCAAACTTATTTTGAGGCTTTCTTTGTCTTGAATTTCGTCATTTGGAGTCCCTTTTGTTGGTTTTTGTGGCCACCAATTTTTGGAGAAATTCTTCCCTTTCATAACATAAACTGTTCAAAGCACATCTCCTACCATCTCTGCCCCTGCCCTGGAATCAACCAATTCTACAAGAAGCCCTTTTCCTTTGGTGGAAATGGTCTAGGAACCAAGATCTGGGTTTTAGATGTACACATTGTCACTGAGATGTTGCAAGGCTGTTAATTTATTCTGAATCCAGTTTCTTTCTTTTCTCAGATATTTACAGAGGATTCTGAGATGTTATAGTTTGAATCAAGGGGTGATCTGCCATGCAATTTTTGTTTATAGAGGTAATTTTAAAATTCACATTTTGGTCCATTAATAAAAGATGTGGACATACTGTGATATATCTGTACTTAGATTCACTCCAGAATATGCAGAAAAATTCTTACTAAGGAATCCATTGGATTCCACTTTACTTTGTTTCCAAGATTAAATCAATTTATAATCAGTTTTGTCTGGGAAGATTAGAGGGTATAACTTATGAAGAATTAATCTAATTAACTGAGAATTTTTAGTATTTTTTCAGTTTGATGGTTCTCCAGACATCTTAGATAATTTTCTGACTTTCTCCAGGTCAGTTTGTATAACCAAACATTTTTTTCCCCTGAGGTGCATGCTACTAACTGTATTCAGTCAGACTCTGAGTACTTAGGGATGATGAAAATTCCTTCTCAAATGTATCTAATTGTTCTTGACTATTTAGGAACTCTTCCTACATGGTTCTCTATATTCGTGGTGGTTCAAATTCTACCCACCAAAATTTTAAGGTGAAATTACATCTTATAATCACCGATACAAATCCAATGGTAAAGAAGATGACCTTTGTATCTAAAATGGTTAATGGAATATAAGAAGAATAAATATTGAATAATGGGATAGAGAAAAGACACAAATGATCAATAGGGAATTCCCAGAAGTGAAATCACGCTGCATGGTTTTGCCTATACATGCATAACTATGATAAAGTTTAACTTATAAATTAAGCACAGGAACATATTAGCAACAGTAACTACTTATAAAATAGAATGATTTTATTGCTGTAATAAAAGTTATGTGAATGTCGCCTCTATCTCAATATATTTTACTCTAACGTTGTATGAAAGTAGGGAAGGTTATCTATTGTTTCCCTTGACAAGGAGGGAAGAGGCTTCTGCCTGAAACACACATGCGGTTTTTAGCCTATAGTTTCATTTATTTTTTTGAAGATTTATTTTACTTATGCATACAAGAACTGGGGTACAGGCCAGAGGGATGTGTGTGTATGGAAGGGGGTGAGATGATTCACCAGAGACAGTGGGAAACAGAACAGGTGGATTGACTGCTGCTAAGGGATTGACCGCTGCTAAGGGGAGCAGCAGGTGAGTCAGGAGAGGTGTGCTGTGCCATGTGGTAACTCCATGGCTGGGGATCAAACTCATGCTGCAGTGGCTGTGGATAGTTTCATAGGTTGCATCTTAACCACTTGCGCCACCAGGGAAGCCCTAGCCTGTAGTTTTAAACCACTGTTTAAAAGAAAATTACTCGACATAATTTTTAAAAAATATTTGTTTTTATTTGTTTGTGCCATATGTGGGTTAACTTCCTGGCCCAGGATCAAACTCAAGGGGTACTGGTGAGAGTGCTGAGACTTAACCCCTAGGCCACCAGGAATGCCCCTAACAATATTTTATATATTACATAAACATATGCTGTATATATAATAAATCCTATAGATATTTCTGAGAATTAAAGTAATATAAAATATTATTTACAAAATAAGTATATATATTCTTACTATATGTACTTTATATATGAGAAATCAAATAAAACAAAGAGAAATAAAAACAATAAAACATCTTGCCCCGCTAGTGTTAGCAAAATAGATGATAGATAAAATATGAGGAATTCAAAGACTTTTTAAAGTTGCCAAAAGATTTAAATTTTGCAAAAAATGCAAGGAAAATGCCAAGGCACTCCACGAGTGGCAGAGCTTAGAAAGCACAGCACAAGCAGATCTCCTGGAAAGGAGAATCTCATCCTGAAAGGCAAAATCTATCACACAAAAATCTAACAACTGAGGGGTAGGTGCTGAGCTTCACCAGAAATCACCAGGTTGAAATGCAGAGAAAAAAGGCAGAGGGCATCTAGAAGGCTCCTAGCAGATGTCAGAAAGAGCCAACAAATCATACTCCCTGCAGGTGAAGGGCTCTGCCATGTCTTTGCTGCTGCTGATGGAGGGCCTGGGGAATGCAGGGCTGGTAACAGAGATCTTTCTGGACTCAGCTTAGCTCAGTTAATGAGGGGGAGCAGAACTACTCAAAAATCTTCTCAGAGGAGCTTATTGGCCAGAACCAGTGGTTTGAAAGGACTGAAGTCTGGAAGGACCCCTGGCTGCTCCCACCATCCATGAAGCATCTGCAAATAGTTGGTTCAGGAAAAACCATGCTATTAAAAACAAAAAGTATTCAGGAAAGGATATGACACAGCATCAAAGATTTTAGTAAAAGATTTTATAAGAAAAATGTGAAAGAGCTGCAAAATTGATAAATATAAGAAAAACATTCATAAGAAGAGTGTTATCATAGAACAGATGGACATGTGGAGCACACATTCCGCCACAGGGAAAATCTTAATGAAATGATCGTCTACAAATAGGACAACTACAGAGCACACATACAGGGACTCAGACCTTAATATATTTTTTTTGGGGGGGAGGTATTTTTCCTGCACTAATTTTGGACGTTAATAGTCTTTCCCTTTCAGACAATATAAAATTGTTCATGTCTTCTTTTCTTTTTTTTAAAGATTTATTTTATTGATGCATATAAGAACTGGGGTATAGACCAGAGGTTTGGGGGTGAGAGGGCTCACCAGAGACAGAGTGGGGAGCAGAACAGGTAGATCTATTGAAATACACTGCTGATGGGAGCAGCAGGAGAGACAGGAGAGGTCTGCTGTGCCATGTGGGTTAGCTTCCTGGGTGGGGATAAGATTCATGTTGCTGTGGCTGGAGATAGCTTGATAGTGTTAAGACTTAACCCCCAGTGCCACCAGGGAGCCCCCTCAAATCTTCTTTTCATTTGACCTCAAAATTTACTTCCTACTAATGTAGTATTCTTTATGAAATATGGTTTGAAGAGGGTCTATAACAATTATTTTTCATTCATCAGTTGGGTTAGTATCATTTATTGAATAAACCCCCCTTTTCATATTTAATAATAGTTTTACTTTAAATACTTTTTTTAAGTTTATTTTTCTTTTTTTAAAAGATTTATTTATTTATTTATACAAGCACTGGGTACAGCCAGAAGCGAGGGAGGATGAGAGAATTCACCAGAACCAGAGCGGGGAGCAGAGCAGGCAGAAGGGCCAAAGTACACTGCTGAGGGGAGCAGCGGGCGGCAGGAGAGGTCTGTGCGCCACGTGGGACCCTCCTCCAGTGGCCGGGGAGCAGCCTGGTATCGAACCATCGCTGCAGAGGCTGCGGGCAGCTTCGCAACACAGCGCTCAACCGCTGTGCCACAGGGGAGACCCTTGAAATACATTTTAAATTCTTAGATATGTGAATACATAACATGTGCATATATATACAGCTGCATGTGTGCCTATTGCTTTTTGGACATTCTATTAAATTTCATTAGTTTTTTTAATTTGTAATTCATTTAGAACTAATATATGAATCTGGATAAAAATGCTTATATTCTATTTTGTATAAAAATATCTGTATATCTCAAAGTACTTTAAAGAAGGACAATAGAAGTTCCATTTGAATAATGTAATTATGTTTGTTTCGCAAAGGCAATTTTTTTTTAAAATTTTTTTTTTTTTTAAATTTTCTAGAGGCATGTCTTATTTATTTATTTATTATTTGTTTGTTTGTTTGGTTTATACATGCACTGGGTACAGTCAGAAGCGCGGGAGGGTGAGAGAATTCACCAGAGCCAGAGCGGGGAGCAGAGCAGGCAGAAGGACCGAAGTACACTACTGAGGGGAGCAGCGGGCGGCAGGAGAGGTCTGCGCGCCATGTGGGACCCTCCTCCGGTGGCCGGGGAGCAGCCGGGGATTGAACCGGCTGCAGAGGTTGCAGGCAGCTTCGCAAGCCAGTGCTCAACCGCTGCGCCACCGGGGAGGCCCTCGCAAAGGCAATTTTACTTACATTTAGTAGGCAAACATTAACAAGTAATTTTAAAAAGGAAATAATATAGCTTAATAAAATTATTCTTGTTCAATAAAAGTTTTAACTTCCTTGGACATTGTGCATATAGTCTATCTAACATGGCTTTTTATAGGACAAGCCAGAGACACAAAGTCAAATTATAATGGTAGTGCCTCAATGTGTGGGGAAAAAGCCATCAGCCTAGACAAGGATTTTCCCACCTAGATCTTATACATTAGTAAAGAAACAAGCAAATCTTTTTATGTTTTTGATGGAATTTATTTATATTTAAGTAGTAAATGTCAACATAAATTATTTCCTTAAGAATATTTATTTTGTACAACGTTGTTATCAAGCAACACTTATGGAATACTCCCTGGGTCCACAGAGCTGAACTTTATGATTATCCTCTCTCCCAAGCTTAAATATGTCCTTATACACTGAAGAAGCAAGGCTTGGTACTACTGCAGAGTAGCCATATATGATGCTCTGAAATCAGAGAAGGAAGTCTCATGATGAAGAATGCTTTATTTTCATTCATTTACAAATGGTATTTTTCTTTTTGTATGTTTATTAAGCCCAAATAATTTTATCTTCTTTTTCTTTCTTCTGTCACAATATCCAATGTTAGATTTTGAACTGGGGGTAATTTGCTTCAGGTACCTATAACATCTATAAAAAGCATATTTCAGAAAATCAGAAGGAATAAAAATCAGCTGAGAACTAGAACTAAGCAGTGTAACAATATAATCAACCAAATGCATAGAATGTTATGGCTAATATAGGATGTTTTGGATGATATTGATATTTTATATCGCATATCTTATTTGATATACTTTGGGCAATAAAATATTAGAAGCATGAAAAGGAAACAAAGATTTTTCTGAAAGTCAATACATTGTTTTAACAATTGCAAATTGGGTTTATTTATTTTTCAGAGTTTGGCAGAATAGTTCAATATTAAAAAGAAAATGTCTTGCTGCTCTCATTTCTTTCAGTCTTTATACATTTTTAGATAACAGAATAATTTCACTTTATTGCTAAAACATTCTTACTTGGTTAGCCATGATTATTAGATTTTAGGCTAACTTTCCTGCTCCTATGTCTGTGGACATTGATTATTTCACTGTTACCTTTCCAAATGTGTTCTTATTCTGAAAATCCAAAATTTCATATAGGGAGTTACTGGTAATAATAAATGTATGCTTGCTTAAAAAAATGGTGGATTTCAGGGACTGATGTTATTGTTGCTATGATAAAAATTCTGACTATCCCATTAAGTTAGCTCTAGAAAAGCATTTTGGGGTGGGGAAATGCATATTTCCAAAGAAACCATTCTGCATGCTTGTTTGACTGGAATTTAGGGTGGAATCTACATGCAGCTTCTTCAGCAAGCTTGTTGCTCCATCCGAAGAGCTCAGTGATGTCACAGATGTCTCACAGGCTGTCATTGTCTCTCTGCTCAGGGATGGGGAGGTTGCGGATTTTCCAACAAAATCCAATGTCGGTATTGAACCAAGGGTACTTTGTTTCAGGTACCTCTGTTATCTATAAAAAGCATATTTCAAAAAACAGAGCAAATTTATGTTAATCTGTTAAGTCTATTTATTGAATAAATGTTTATATTATTTCTGAAAGTTGTATGAGTTCCTTATTTTGTCTACTACTAGTTTTTCTTAAAAGTTCAAATTATCAATATGAACTATTTCCATTGAGGCAATTTAAGAATTATTTTATGACCAATTCAGAGAAATACCAGCATAGATAATAATTGGAATATTTAACATTAATTTTTATCTTGAATGATTAAAATTGGCATAAACTTTCAAACACAAAGTAAAATGAATCATTGTCACATACTCATTAACTATCTTAAAAATGATGTAAGAATTACATAAAATAATAAAAGAATAAAGAAATTTTACTAAAAAATTTGTCAACAATTGTGCCATTCTTCAGTAAAATTTATTGATTTTTTAAGTACCAGGTGATATCCAAATCTGCTTTATCTTTCAAAACCCAAAGAAACATATGAGCAAGGTCAATGGCAGAATTACTATGATGCTAATAAAACTAGCATGGGTTCTTTACAAAACAAGGGACTTAGCAATATTGTCACATACATTGAAAATTTTTGTAAAATTTGTCACAATTAGATCTCCTATTATAATCTATTAAAATCTCTTTTTTTTTTTTCATTTTGACTCCCTATTAGTCACATTTTCTCCTGTAATTATAACCAGGGTGTTGGTGATTTATTATTCTAAATTAATATGCAGCGTCGTAGCTGATTATATACCTATAACTTCGCATTTCATTTCTTAAAGAGGGTTTTCCAAATTCTATTAAGCATCAAGTTCCACAAATCCTGGACCTATCCCTGCCATAGTTAGTATTAATATCCCTGTTTAAATTTAATCAGAGAGGTTAAGTGACTTTCCAAATGCTACGCAATCATTAATAGGTGTAGCGGGCTTTAAAATCAGACTCACCCTGAAACATTCAATTTTATGTGTCAACTTGATTAGGCATGATACTTAGGTGTTCATCAAACATGAATCTAGATGTTGCTGTGAAGGTATTTTTTAGAAGACATTAACATTCAAATTGGTACATTTTCAGTAAAGCAGATTACCCTCCGTAATACAAGTGTTTCTCATTCAATAGACTGAAGACCTTAAGAGCACAGACCCAGGTCCTCGCAGGAAAGAAGACCTCTCCACTTCTTTAAACTCAATACTGCAATGTCAACTCTTCCCTGGGTTAATAGTCCCTACAACTTTTTAAATCAATTACATAAAATAAATTAAAAACATGCATTCTATTAGTTCCACGACTAACAAAGTAAGAAATAAAAAGGATATGCTAGTGTTGGCTCTCTCTTAGTTTATTGGTCATATGATTCTGGCAATTCACTTAACCTCCTTAGGCTTTAGTTTCACATCTCAAAAATAAGGACATCATATCAGAATAGGGTTTTTCAACAACTGACAATTGGTGCTGGATAATTCTTTGTTGTGGGAGCTGTCCCCTGCATTGCGCTCTGTTTAGCGGCATTCCTTGCTTCTGTCCACTAGATGCCAGCAGAACCATCCAGTTGGGACAACTCACAACATCTTCAGACATTTTAAAATAGCCTCTGTGGGGAGGGGCAAACAGGACAAAAAACCCTCCCGCATTTGAGTATCACCGTATTAGATTATCTTTAAGTTATAATATAGGCATGCACAATATTACAGGTTATATATACTGAGATAGCTTTGAAATTTCGGAAAGCCATTTAACCACTTAGTGGGATGCAATAGAGGTATATTCTAATATTCTGTAATTCATATAAATAAAACGTTTTTTTCAGTTTCCACATAACAGAAGTGGAGAAATGCCAGGAAGATTAGCATTAAGGTCCTGACAAATTATGAGCTGCAGGCAACTTAGCAGTCATAGGAATGAGAAAGAATACGTGAAAAAGAAGGAAAGATGAAATTTAGCTCTCACCATCACAGAAATGAGTTTTAGCTGGGAAATTACTGCCCATTCAAATCCAAGCCACTAATGGCGATCCTGAGCTCAGCACTGTGGGGAGGGCTCACTTTGCCCAGAGCACACTAGTGGGGATTGCTAGACTTCTTGGATGCATACAGATTTGTAGAACCCATGTGACTTTGAAGTACTTATGCCAATGCTAGTAATAATGCAACAAAATTTATTTTTCTAAAGAATATTTCTGGCAACCTGGTGAGGAGGGAGTATGGCTTTGCTGAACTAGTATAATCAACTTTATGCTCCTGTTGGTTGAATGACCAAGAAGAGAAAAATAGGAGCATTCCACTAGATGGTGCTAAAATTGACTAATTCATCACATGGCTGAATTTGGTTACATGTGACCCTGTCTTAACCAGATTATTTTCTCAGTTCTTTTGAAATAAATTTGATTTAGTTATATTTCAAATGAAAGCATCTACCAGCTAAAAATAAAATTCCATTGGGCCTCTCTGGTGGCCAAGGGGTTAAGCACCGCACTATGAAGCAATCCACGGCCTCTGCAGCAGTTTGATCCCCAGCCAGAGTAACCCACATGGCAAAGCAGACCTCTCCTGACTTGCCCGCTGCTCCTTTCAGCAGTGTACTGCAGTCTGCCTGTTCTGTCCCCACTCTGTCTCTGGTGAATCCTCTCATCTCCCGTATCTCTGGCCTGTACCCCAGCTCCTCTATGCATAAATAAATAAATCTTGGGAAAAAAATAAAAAACTAAAATTCCATTCTAATGTTAATCTTCCTTCTGATTCAAAATAAAAATATATGCATTTTTATTTCAGGCAGCTTTGCATTACAAAGCAAGTTTCAGGGCCAGAAGGCACCAAAAGACATTGTGTTAGTAGCAAAAGGTTTGTTCTTTTTTTCAATTTTAATTAATGCCATGGCCAGATGATTTAATAGGACTATTACTGACAAGTATAGGTAAAACTGAAATAAAAACCTTTTAATTTTAATTTCCTGAACACTCTTCTGCTAATATGGTCAGAGATGAGTTATATACCTACTACTAGCAATTGAAGACATTAAGAAGGCAGAAGACACAGACTATTAAAATGCTTTGTAGAGCTCTGAAATATATTCCAAAAGATAGCCCTATGACTTGGAGGTCTGGTTAGATAGCATTTAGAAAGGGAATATGGCCATTATACATCAGGAAAATTGGGTAGTCTGATGTCAAAATGAGGAGTAATAAGGGCTACTTTAAGCAGTAAACTCCTAATTGCTAAATTGTGAGATTCACGCTCTACTGAAAATTTAATCAGTTGGGTACAAAAAGCATGCAAATATCTTTATGTTTTCTAAATCCTCAAGTCAGTCTACCAATATGTAGGTGCCAATGGAAAGAATCCCACTGTAGTTGTTACAAGTGTCTTTTGGGCTTTGTTATTTTTAGGAAGAGAGACTATTACTGAGTTTCATCAGAGCTGACTTTAGTTGAATAACTAATCAGTAAAGGACCTGAAAGGAGGGTGCGGGTGAGAGTTGGCAACAGATGGAGGGTGGGTGTGGGAATTATTGCATTCCACAGAATTCCACATCCCATTTAAAACAAGTCAGAAGAAAAGACAGGTTGTTTCAAAGGTAGCTAGAATTAGGTGGAAAACAGGCAAAATGGAAGTCAAAGATAGAAGCAGAGAAAAAGGAAGAGATAAAAAAGGAATACTTGTATTGGACTTGCCCTTATGCATTTCCCTTTTACCTCTATCAACACTTAAAATATTAATAACACAATGATACCTATATTTTCCACATAAATAATGGAAAGGAAAGGTGAGCACAAGTGAAATGGCCAGACATTGGGTTGCTAAAGCAAGCACAAAATTCCACTTCACAGTTATGCCCAGGTTAGGGCCTGACTATAAAACATATTTCTTTGGGATTCATTAAAAACAAGTTTTTCTTAGTATGCTACAAACATCTTTGGTTAAAAAAAAAATCCTTATCAAACAGATACAAACTACAACAGCTGATTAAAAAATTAAAAATGATGAGAAGCCCAATGAAGGATGCTGGCAGTCGAATGCTCCAATACACAAGTCAAACCAGTGTTGGGAATTCAAGTTCAGTCCTAGCGAAGCAATCCAAGATTTCCCAAGGGTATGTTCCTATCCTCTTCTAGAGAAACACTTGCTAAATTGTAGTGTGACCCTTTTGGACTCCTTTCTACCCCACCCACAAGTTAATACATGTTCTCTGAAGAAGAAAAACGAGTATGCCAGTAGAACATAGTTGGAAAATACTATATACCATATTTCCTTTTAGAGGTTTCTGGTGCACATGGGCATGTTGAAGGGTATTAAAATATCTGAGAGGTTCTGGGAAAGAAAAACCTGTATAATTGGACTCTTAATTTCTCATATATAAATCCCCTTCCTGTCCATGCTTCACCCTCAGAAATGCCTACTAGCATAGGCAGGTCACTAGAATTCTCTAGCATATGAATGCCAGAGAAAATGCTACTCCACAGATGAAAGCACTACATTTTTTTGCCACATTGAAAGAATTGTGAAGATGTAAAAGACTTACCAAAAGGAACTACTTAATATCCTGAGAGTTAGGATTTTTGCTTAGATTTGGCTTCTTGGTACAGTTGTTTAGCTTTTGTCCTATCATTCTCCTAATTGAAACATCATCTGTGGTGGGAAATATCTGTTTTGTGACTCCTGTTAAAAAAAACAACAGTGATAACACACACAAAAATACACTTTATGAGGCCTTTCCTTTTTAAGATATGAACTGAGATTAAAAAAAAAAACAAAGCAATCCACATTGAAAGTTTGTGTCCATTTTACAAAAGCAGCCAAAACACCCATAAGATATTAAAAAGCTGAATTAGTGTCAGGGTTTTCAAAGGAAAACAAGATATAACAAAAGTCTCTATTATAATTGAGAACATATATATTTGCTTTCCCTTGGCACAATTCAACTTTAACCTTGCCACTTGATCTGACCTATAAATCCCCTTGTTTCAAAATGTTCAGAATTTTTTATCCATTCCCAACATCAGTTGAAACAATCTTTGCAGCTAAGAAATAATATATTATCAAAATATAGAGATTTCAGATTTAATGATCCCCCAATATTGTTGGATATTTGTAAAAAAATTTGCTGCCCTAGGTGATGATATTTAAGGAGACTCATTATCATAAATAGGATAGTCTTATTAACCTCTATTTATCTAAAGTAAAAGATTGGGGATATAACACAGATAAAAAAGAGAAAAAATAAGTAAAAAAGAAAATAAGATATACACTTACTAAAATTTTGTAAGGATTTTGAAGATTTACTTTTGTAAAGTTATACATTTTATGAGTCCAAATTTTTCAGCAATATAAAAATTACTTTTATTTTAATAACCACAGTCAATATAAAATTTTCCACATTTAATAAGAAGTTGGGACTATTGTGAAATTTTTATTCCATGGAAAAATAAATTTTAAAAAAAGACCACAAAAGAATAACTTAACTTTGAATGTTAAATTATTTCAAATTCACATGACAGTAAAATGCAATCAGATTATCACCTATAATTTCTTGAACTTCATTCTGATTCATAGCTGGTTTTACAGCCTTGTCCCTTGAAGTAGAGGATTTTGCCCCCGTCAGGCTGTGTGTGGCCATGTATTCATTTGTGTAAAGTACTTGCATTAAATCATTAATAAACTTCTGAGGTTTGCTCTTGTTACAACGGGCAATCTGCCATTTTTCAATCTTGAACTAAAAAATAAAAATTGAAATTGGAAAAAAGAAAGGAAAGGAGTATCTGGAGAAAAAATATATCACTGGGTTAAGATATCAGAAAACAAAATCAATGCTCTTTAAGGTGATATATTATACATTTTATGCATTTCAGGGGTGACATTTACATTTTATCATTGAGATAATTCCCAAAGGTCATGAGACATTTGTTCCAGAGTATATATAAATGCTTGTCATGTAATCTGGAATTGTTTTTTTTAAGGATTAGTTCCATTCTCAACACTTCTACTAAATATAATGGGCAGAATAATGGCCCATTGAAGATATACACATCCTAATCCTTAGAACTTACGGACGCTATCTTATATGGCAAAAATAACTTTGTAGGTATGATTCAAGTTAAGTATACTGAGTTGGGAAGACTATCCTTGATTATCCAGAGGGGACAATCTAATCACATGATTCAAACACAGAAAGGGAGACAGAAGAGTAAGCCAGAAAGGAAACACAAGAAGGATAGATTCAAAGAGTGAAGGGGACATGGTCTGTCATGGCTGACTTTGAAGATGGCTAAGTGGGCCATGAACCAAGGACTGTGATAGCTTCCGGAAGTGAGAAAGGTCTATAGTTTACTGCCAGTAAGAAAATAGAGAACTCAGTTCTTAACCACAAGAAACTGAGTGAGTAGGAAACAGATTCGTCCACTGAAACTTCAGAAGAAAGCATACCTGCTAACACCTTGATTTTACCATACTTCTGATCTATATGCTGAGATATTACATTTCTCTTATTATAAATCACTAAGTTTGTGGTAACCTGTTAGACAGCAGTAGGAAACTGATACACCAAGATTCAAAAATTCTCAATGTTAGTATTTATTGCTTTTGAAGGCATATATTCTGAGGCTAATACCTTATTCTGACTAAAACTTAGAATTTTACCTTCTATTTCTTGATTAAGAGTGATGAGAAAATAGAAAAAGAATTGTGTAACCATCATGAAGAGGCTGAAACTTATCTTCTCTTAATGATAGCAGTTTATAATCCCTAATGCATAGTTATCCCTCTGCCGCTTAAGAATTTTATGGTTTACTATCATTATCTGCAGTTTGATTTTGGTTAAATATTAAATTTGTTGTAAAAAGTCATGTTATGCAATTAGAAAGTCAAGGTTTTGAACCATAGTTACCTAAAGTTGATAAACAGTTATCCTTCTGCACTCTTATTTTAATTTTTATATTTAACTGTATCGCAGAGACTCCCTACTGACCTGTTTTTCGTCAGTATGATGCTCTTCTTCAGCTTTCAGGGAAATGGGTGAACTGGAATTAGAATTAGAATTACTGCACGTTGAGGCAAATGAATCTGGTGAGGAGTTGTTTGTTGCTCTCCAGAGGGTGGATGCAGTTGTTGACATGGGTCCTCCACCCTTAAGGAGGGCCTCCGCCATCCCAACCAATTCCTCGAACTGGGTGACTGCCTGTGGTAACACTAAAATGGCAAGAAGTAACAATTTACAAACACTTTCAATAACAATAACAAACATGCATATTTTTAATTGTGTGTTTATGCATAGAAATATGTGGAACTAGTTGTTACCATTTGTTGCCTTTGTAAAATAAACATGGTGAGAAGAGTGGTTGGAACATATTTACTTTTTATTATTAAATAATTTAATATTGCTTAATAATAAATCAATTTTAAAACTTTTGGTTATTGCATTTAAATATATATTATATATATGCATACATAATATATATTACTTCATAACTAATTTGAATACTTTTTTAAAGTTGATTCTTTGCCCTGATTGCTAATAGTACTATTTGAAGGTGTTTAATCTCTTGTTTGGAAATATTACTGATTCTATTATCACCTTCCAAATGCTCGCATTAGTTCAGTTTAAGTGACATTTCTCACAAATTAAAATAAATTTTCTATGACCTTTGCATGTGATTTGTTAGGAGTCAAATTCTATCAAATTAGTAAAAATACACTGCCACATTTCAAACCTATGTTTCCACATATTAAAGATGAATTTTGGTAATCAACTAAAAGTTCTCTTTGTTCCTTTTTTTTTTTAATGGAAACTTACACATTCAAAGGTTTCATGCCTCCATGTAAAATGGTCTTCTCTGTTGTTATATCTAGTTTGTTTCCTAAGGACAAATAACATTTTGTTGGAGTTGGAAGACACCTTGAACCCTATCTAATTCAATTTCTCACTCTATGGTTGAGGGTACTACCTGCTAGAGAAGCAAAAAGACAGATTTTTTCCATACTTTTCTCAAGTGTATCATTGAGCTATAATCTTTACAATTAAATTTGATTTGAGAACTGAAAATTTAGTCATATTGATGACATGGCTAAGTGAATATATAGTTAACTATATTATTATCTACTAAAGAAAAATCTACTAAAGAATCTACAATTCTTCCAAATAAAATGTATTAAGCACCTGTCATGTGCCAGTTGCATATTCAATTAGTATTATTTATTGAGCATTTAATAATATGAAATATTTAGCTTTTACTCTGTGCCAGACACTATATGGACACTTCTACCAATGTTCATTCTTTCAATTCTCATTTACAACTCTTTAAAATAGCCATTATCATTGCCCCCAATTTATAGAAGAGGACAGTTAGTGAGAGGTTAAACAACCTGTTAAATCAACCCAATTAGTGAAAAGAAGGGCCAACATATAAAGTCTCTTCTGATTCCTTGCTATAAATTACTAAGTTATGCAGACTCTCAACATTTGCCAACCAGTATGTTAGGTGGTAGGGATGAGAGTGGCAGCAAAACCAGATGTGATCCTTTTGGAACTGAGAGGGGTTGGAGGGGCATTATTTACATACCCATGCTATAGAGTAAGAGTTTGACTTGCTCAGAAAGAGATCTGGTCAACTCCTCCCAACACCCAAATAGGAAGTAACCTCTAATCCCTTGAAATTTCCCTAGTAATAAAATGACTATCTTTGTTATTCATGGTGAGCCCCACGGGCTACACCTGATAGTTTATACTAAGGAGTTTCTCAGGGTGAGGATGATCACACTCAATAGTCATAGGGTGCCATTAGAAGCACTCTTAGAAGCTGGTCAGAAAGTCAGAGAGATTTGGAGACTGAGTTCAACCACATTCAATCAATCATGCCTACATAGTGAAGTTTCAGTAAAAACTTTGGACACTGGAGCATTGAGACTCTGCCCTATATATCTCTCTGACTGTTTCAAATTTACAACCATAAGTATAATAGGTTTCAGTGAGTTGTGATTTTTTTTCTAGCAAATTAAAGACATGGGTGGTTTTTTAAAATCCCCAAACTTGCAGTTGGTGATAGAAGTATTATGCAAACTTGACAGTCTAGAGGACAGTGCCCTTAATCTTGCAGTTTGTCTAACTCAATGTATATGCAAAGACATGAAAACTACAACTGCTAAGTGACACAAAGGTGAGGCATAAGATGCCTGATCCAGCCTGAGGGGATCAAGATTGAGCCGAGGGCTGAAGACTGAGTAGGAATTAAAGAGTTAAAGGGAATGATGGGTCATTATAGGCATAGGAAATGCAAGTTTTATATTTGAGGAACTGCAAGAAGGTAAAAGGCAGAAAATAAAGAAAAAAGGGAATTTGGTATCAATTTGGTATCAAGTGTGACTTCAAGAGTTTTTACTTTCTTTTTTAATTATGAAAGTTGTTCATACTCATTGGCAAACATCCTTTCATATCTATCTGTGCTCTTTTACAGTCATATGTACATATATAAAAAACATAGTCAGCACCATATTGTATACATAGCATTGTATCATGATCCTATTTCCAATGAAGACTATAATATGAACATTTTGCTTATTTTATTAAATATTCTTGGAAAATACGACTTCTTGAAGTCTAATTTACATGGAAGCAAAGGTAAGACTTTATACAAATTCTGAACAGAAATTAATTAGGTAAAAGGGGATGAGTTTGAAAATAGGACATATATACCCACTTAACACACACCCATTAAGATATAAACTATTTGCATACTCCAAGAAAGTTTCTCTTGTTTCCTCTAAGTGAATCCCTAGATTTACCTCATAGACAACAACTAATGTGATTTCCTTAGTCATATTTTATCTTCCCTAGAATCCCATATAAATGGATTCAAAGAATATATCCTCCTTTTTCTGGCTAACATTTTGTTCTACATATTTTGTGATTCATGTTATAATGTATATCAGTTACCCATTCCTTTTTGTTATTGACTAATATCTTATTATATGGTACTCCATAATTAATTTATCCACTCACCTGCTGAGGGGGAATTTTTACTTTTTCTTTTAATTGTTCCAACATTTGCTGTTTCTAGTTTATTTGATAGGTCATTCTCACAGGGACAACATGATATGTCATTGTGGTTTTGATTTGGATTTCCCTTATAGTAAGCGATATGGAGCAATTTTTTCAGGTGTGTGTGGGTCATCTGAATGTCTTCTTGGAGAAGAGTGTATTCAGGTCTTTTGTCCATTTTTTTATTGGGTTTTTGTTTTATGTTGTTGAGATGAACTCAAAAAACTCATTTGTCGTATGTGTGATAGGCAAATATCTTCACCCAGTCAGCAGGTTGCCTTTTTGTTTTGATGGTGACTTCTTTCTCTGTAAAAAAGCTTTTTAGTTTGATGTAGTCCCATTTGTTTATTTGTATTTTTGTTTCCCTTGCCATTGGAGTTGCATCCCCATCCCCAAATACTTCTCTGCAGCTGATGTTCAGGAGTGTCTCCTCTATGTTTTCTTTAAGTATTTTGTGGATCAGGTCTTATATTCAAGTCTTTAATCTCTTGAATTTATTTTGTGTGTGGAGTTTAGTAAAGATCTAGTTTTTTTCCTTTTTTTTTTGCATTCAGCTCTCTAAGTTTCCAAGTACCATTTGTTAAAGAGACTTTCCTTTCTCCATTGCATGATAATTGCTCCTTCATCAAAGATGAACTGTATATATTTGTTTGAGTTTATTTCTGGACTCCCTATTCTATTCCATTGGTCTGAGTTTCTGTTTTTGTTCCATATGATACTGTTTTGATTACTATTGCTGTCTGGTATAATTTGAAGTTAGAGAGTGTGATACTTTCATTTTTCTTATTTTTTCTCAGTATTGCCTTGGGTATTTGGGCTCTGTTGTGGTTCCATACAAATTGTATATTTGCTCTATTTCCTTGAAAAAAATGTCATTGGCATTTGATAGGTATTGAATTGAACCTATAAGTTGTTTTAGGTAATACGGTCATTTTAACTGTTTATTTTTTCCAATCCATGAACACAGGTTATCTTTCCATTTCTTTGTACCTTCTTTGATTTCCTTTGACTGTTTCTTATAGGTTTTTTTTTTTAGATTTATTTATTTATGCATGCAAGGGCTGGGGTACAGGCCAGAGGAGTGGAGGGTGAGAGGATTCACCAGAGACAGAGTGGGGAACGGAAAAGGCAGAATGACTGGAATACACTGCGAAGGGAGCAGCGGGCGAGACAGGAGAGGTCTGCTGTGCCATGTGGGTCACCTCCCTGGCTGGGGATCGAACTCCTGCTGCAGTGGCTGTGGCTTGCTTCATAGTGCTGACACTTAACCCCTTGAACCACGAGAGAGGACCCCTGTTTCTCATAGTTTTTGGTGTATAGGTCCTTCAACTTTTATTAAGTTTACTAACAGGTATTTCACCTTTTTGGTGCAATTGTAAATGGGTTGTCTTTCTCCTTCTGACTGATTTTGTTTAGCATAAATCCCTCCAGTTCCACCCATATTGTTAACAACTAGAAAAATTTCATCATTTTATACACACACACACAGAGATACATAATTGAATAATATTTCATTGTATAAATATATCACATCTTCTAAACCCACTCATGTTGTTGGACACTTAGGTTATCTCCCTAACTTGGCTATTTTAAAGAATGCTGCAATGACATAGGATTGCGTATATCCCTTTGATTCAGTGTTTTTGTATTCTTTGGCCAGATACCTCACAATAGGATTGCTGAGTCATATGAGAGACCTATTTTTAATATTTTCAGAAACCTCAAGATTGTTTTCCATAGTGGCTAGACCAGTCTATGTTCATATCAATTATGTATTAGGGCTCTTTTTTCTGCACATCCTTGTCAACACTTGTTTCTGGTCTTTTTGGTATAGGTCTTTCTCACCGGTGTGAGGTGGTATTTCATGTGGTTTTGATTTGAATTTCCCTGATGATATTACTATTATTAATTTAAAGATTTATTTATTTATACATACAAGAGCTGGGATATAGGCCAGAAGTAGGGGTATGTGTGGAAGTATTCACCAGAGACAGAATGGGGAGCAGAACAGGCAGATCTACTGAACTACACTGCTGAGGGGAGCAGCGGAAAAGATAGGAGAGTTCTGCTGGCCAGGGATGCAACTTATGCTGCTGTGGCTGCGAATAGCTTCACAGTGCTGAGACTTAACCCTTTGCACCACCAGGGACTTACT